TTCACTCAATTAGAAGGCACTGCGTGTGCTTAAGTGGCATCTTCGGGACTTAGTCCAAACCGATTAGCGGAAGGATGGCAAAATAAAGAGTCCCCCTTTGCATAAATTAAAAATTAATTAAGAGCCAAGAATGGCGGGCCAAAACGCTCTTCGAAAAGTAATTAAGGCTGACCATCAATCCAAAAGCCGCAGACGAACCCAAACCTTAAGAAAAATTAAAACCAAATCCGTGTCCAAACAAACGAAAGATTCCAAATTAATTTTTTCTCCTTTTCGTCTTTTTGTGTGGGCCGAGAGCAAACATCAACGCTTGTGGCTCGGCCCAAGTCGCTCAGCTGTAAATAAACAGAGGCAAATTCAAATAAGCAAAGAATAAGCAAAAATAAATAACTAACAAGCCAAAGTTGCTCCTAACTCCCAGACCTCCTGACTGCATCGCCACAATGGACCGGGGCCAAAGCCAAATAAATCACATCCATTCACAGTGTGCGAGTGAAGCGTAGCATGTCCTGGCAAGGACCCATCCCATCCTATCCATTCCATCCCATCCCATCCAACCCACCGACCTATACAGCCAATTTCGGTTCACAGACAGTGGACTGACAAAACATTTTATTGGGCCAAAAATACACCACAGATTTCATTTGATGTGCGTATTGATTGCACTGATTGATTTAAACTTCAATTGAATTGATAGCCGTTTTGAGAGGATATCATCGCCAGAATTCTCTCTCCATTTTAATCGCCAGCTCGGCATTTGCATCCACTGTATGCCCGGCTAACTTTGAAAGGTCAAATGAAGGCAAATCTGGGGAGCCCAAGAAAAAGGTAAAGATGCTGGCTGGATTTTCGCTTTCCCAAATGTATATGTATATTAAACAAGAAAGGCAAGCTAACTGGCGAGCCGAAGTTGATATACCCTTGCAGAATACCCTGTAAATTATATTCTCCAAAATTATTCATATGATGCATTCTTAATACTCATAAAAAATCCCAACATCCTAACTTTAAAAACACCAAAGTTATAGCATTTCCAATCGTTCAGTTATATGGCAGCTATAAGATATAGTCGGCCGATCCTTATGAACTTTGGTAGGTCGGATTGATTGGCCAAAAATAAAACCCATAGAAAATCCCAACTTCCTAACTTAACAAACACCAAAGTTATGGCATTTCAGATCAATCAGTTATATGGCGGCTATAGGATATAGTCGGCCGATCCTTATGAAATTTGGTAGGTCGGATTGATTGACCAAATATAAAACCGATAGAAAATCCCAACTTCCTAACTTTACAAACACCAAAGTTATGGCATTTCCGATCAATCAGTTATATGGCAGCTATAAGATATAGTCGGCCGATCCTTATGAAATTTGGTAGGTCGGATTGATTGGCCAAATATAGGGCCCATAGAAAATTCCAACTTCCTAACTTTACAAACACCAAAGTTATGGCATTTCCGATCAATCAGTTATATGGCAGCTATAGGATATAGTCGGCCGATCCCGGCCGTTCCGACTTATATACTGCGTGCAAAGGAAAGAAGGCTGTGTGCAAAGTTTCAACTCGATAGCTTTAAAACTGAGAGACTAGTTTGCGTAGAAACAGACAGACGGACAGACGGACAGACGGACAGACGGACAGACGGACAGACGGACATGGCTATATCAACTCAGGAGGTGATCCTGATCAAGAATATATATACTTTATAGGGTCGGAGATGTCTCCTTCACTGCGTTGCACACTTTTGACCAAAATTATAATACCCTCTGCAAGGGTATAAAAATAACCGTTGATACACACCTGCTGTGAGTGAGTGATGTATTGTGCGGCCCCCATTCCCGTCGATTTCCAGTCAGAAAAAAGCTGAGACCCGGGGATTCTGGCTGCTGTATTGTTGTGGAGCATTGTCAATGCTTTTGACAATGGCACTTGGTCGGGAAAATTCGAGAGGTGCGGGTGGAGCGCCGCGACCTACGAGGCTTTTCAATTTGTTGTTCTTTATTGATTTAAAGTTCACTTCAGTCGCGGTCGCTTTGTTGGCGAGTGTCGGTCGCACACAAACCGCATGAAACTCATTTCCCCGAAGGAGCGGCAATGAAAGGACCCCATGTACATATACATATAGCGCACGCAAATAAACACAATTCCTCTGCTGACATTCGTATTTGTTGGCCGGAGTTTACTTAGTTTGCTCGACATGGGAATTACACGTTCTCGGCTCCCAAATGTTTGCCTACTCCAAAGCAGAATAGAGGTGGAGTATAACATTCAAGTGGGGAATTGGCGAAAGTGTAGCCCAAGGCAATGGCACTCGAGTGGAGAAGGGCTGGCATCGATTACCAGGCAAGCAAATTGCTAAATAAATGTACATAATTTGAAAATTGACATTTGCTAATGATAAGCCCCTGTCGCTGATGCTGAAATATGGCCAAAGAGGCAGCATCTGGATTTCAGGAAGGGGATGAGATGGAATTCAGGCAGCAGCTGGTGCCTTCGCAGGAAGGAAGCTAAATTTTGGAGGCCCCCAAACGGAAATTTCCCCCCCAACGGCACAGAAATTGAAGCTGTTTATGGTAAATTAAACCAATTGAGTGGGATTACGTTTTGGACCTACCCACTGCGACGCCTGCAAGTGTTTTGCTGGCCGGGTTTCAATTTCATTGTCTGCCCGAGCCTGCGGCTAACGAAATTTATATACCCACACAATGCCATCAAAGGCACAAGGTGTTTATGGGCTTAACTCCGGCTCTGATTCTGCTCACTCATCCGCCTCCCAGATTTGCATGTTCCACGACTCGGGACTCGGGACTCAGCAGGCGGATAGAAGACAAATAGCCAGCACGTTGCGGTTCATTTGGCTGTCACAACAAATGCCGAATTGATGCAAATGTAAATGGATATCGAATCCCGAACGCGCCTGCGGAATACCAAGCAGAAGTCAAAAGATGAATTTAAGGAAATTCCGAGATACTCTCTACACTCCAACGACAGTTAAAGCCAGCTTTATCGGTATAATTTCATCAGGCACGTAGCCAGGTTGCGGAAATGTTGTACATTATATTTTTGAAAGAAAAAAAATATACAAGCATTGCTGAAATATTTCTAATTTAACAGTTTGGATACTTAAAATAAGGTTTAGTCAAACTGAATTACTAACAAGGTTACCCAAAGTTTTTCCGTGATTTATTTAGCACTTCTACGCTCATAACTTTTCCTACAGCCATCCGATTTCAATGTGGCATACGTCTAAATGATTGTGGTTTAATCCTCTAAAAAACTGTGTTCTCAGTTTGGTTTGTATTTTGGGGTCGATTTTTCGTCATTTTTACAGTGTTACCCCTTTCCAAATTTTCGAAAAATGGCTTTCCAGAAAAATTACCTAAAACCTGCACTTCTCAGCCCATAACTTTTCTTACAGAGATCCGATTTCAAAGTGCTATATCTCTAAATGATTGTGGTTTAATTCTCTAAAAATCTGTATCTTCAACTTGGTTTGTATTTTGGGGTCGATTTTTCGTCATTTTGACAGTGTTACCCCTTACCAAATTTTCGAAAAATGGCTTTGCAGAAAAGTGACCTAAAACCTGCACTTCTAAGCCCATAACTTTTCTTGCAGTCATCCGATTTCAAAGTGGCATACCTCTAAATGATTGTGGTTTAATCCTCTAAAAAACTGTGTTCTCAACTTGGTTTGAATTTTGGGGTCGATTTTTCATCATTTTTACAGTGTTACCCCTTTCCAAATTTTCCAAAAATGGCTTTGCAGAAAAGTGACCTAAATCCAGCACTTATAAGGCCATAACTTTTCTTACAGACATCCGATTTCAATGTGGCATACCTCTAAATGATTGTGGTTTAATCCTCTAAAATACTGTGTTCTCAACTTGGTTTGTATTTTGGGGTCGATTTTTCGTCATTTTGACAGTGTTACCCCTTACCAAATTTTCGAAAAATGGCTTTGCAGAAAAGTGACCTAAAACCTGCACTTCGAAGCCCATAACTTTTCTTGCAGGCATCCGATTTCAAAGTGGCATACCTCTAAATGATTGTGGTTTAATCCTCTAAAAAACTGTGTTCTCAACTTGGTTTGAATTTTGGGGTCGATTTTTCATCATTTTTACAGTGTTACCCCTTTCCAAATTTTCGAAAAATGGCTTTGCATAAAAGTGACCTAAATCCAGCACTTCTAAGGCCATAACTTTTCTTACAGACATCCGATTTCAATGTGGCATACCTCTAAATGATTGTGGTTTAATCCTCTAAAAAACTGTGTTCTCAACTTGGTTTGAATTTTGGGGTCGATTTTTCATCATTTTTACAGTGTTACCCCTTTCCAAATTTTCCAAAAAATGGCTTTGCAGAAAAGTGACCTAAATCCAGCACTTCTAAGGCCATAACTTTTCTTACAGACATCCGATTTCAATGTGGCATATCTCTAAATGATTGTGGTTTTATTATCTAAAAATCTGTATATTCAACTCGGTTTGTATTTTGGGGTCGATTTTTGGTCATTTTAATGATGTTACCCCTTTCCAAATATTAAAAAATGGCTTTGCTGAAAAGTGGCCAAAATCCTGCTCTTCTAGGCCCATAACTTTTCTTACAGACATCCGATTTCAATGTGGCATACCTTTAAATGATTGTGGTTTAATTCTCTAAATATCTGTGTATAAATCTTTGTTTATAATTGTGAGTCGATTTACTTCACTTTAGTGTCAGCCAGGTTAGCAAAATAAAGCTCTACTACTCATTTCAATTTATTTGAGCATCAAACAAAAATGAAATACAGATTAAATTGTTTCTTAAAGTAAATGCAGTTTAGATTTAAATATCCTCGTAAATGCCAACTGTTTGTATTCCCTTATATTTAAGTAAGAACTGTGCAAATACAAATGTAAAAACCCACTTACTCTTCCATCTACAAACTGTTGTTGCTCTTTTGAAAGTGAGCTCATAAATATGGCAGAGAATAAAACGTATTTCTTTTTCAATTGCAGGACTTGGCAAACGATTGGCAATAATAGCGGTCACCAGAAGGAGCCCAAAGCGAGAGAGCAAATGTCAGGCAGCATGTCGTGCCCATTTGAGAGTCCTTTTCTGTGGCATTAGGGCAACATTTGGAGCGGGCAACTAAGCGCACACCCCAAAAAGCACCAACTGTGGTCAGTCATCACCATGACGCTTCTGCAGAGACTCCAGGCCATGTCGGCCACCACAACCAGGACGATGCTCGAGGGCAGCATTAGCATCGGGATCGGGATCGGGACAAAGGAGCCGCCGGCAGGACTCCAACTGCCCGTGCTGGAGGAGTCCGCCTCGCATGCCCGATATTTGAAATTCATCGCCGACGGACTCATCGACGAAGGCATGGGGGGTAGTGCGGTGGGCAGCGGGAGCAGCATCGCCGTAGCCGTCGAAGACGTGGTCGCCGGACAGGCGCAGGATATCCAGGCGGGCGAAGGATCCACCGACGACGCCGACGGCAGCAGCCATCTGGCATTAGTCTTCGTCAAGTGTTTCATTATTGGTTTCATCATACTGGCCGCCATCCTGGGCAACATGCTGGTGATTGTGTCCGTCATGCGCCACCGGAAATTGCGGTGAGTCCCTTACTGCGATGGCTTTTCCCCGTATCCGCCGGCTGGACATGTGTGCTCATATGTCTGCGTTGACACTGGCTTCATTAATTTGTCGCACTGAATCAAGTGGTTCTTTCTACCAGCCAGGTTTTGGGTTTCATTGTATGCCCATGGCTGCGTTTTATTGTATTTTTCCAGAGCTCAAGTTTTGAATTGCTAGGAATGGTCTGCGTCCTTGCATGTAGAAATTATTAGCAAGACATATTTACAGGATCTCAGCTTTTTAAAGTATTTAAACCCAAAGATAGGAAAAGAAAGAAAATTATTTGTAATATTTATAAGGGCTTTAAATGAAGTATTTGAAAATTCTATTGTCAAAATATTTAAAAAAAATTGCTTAACAAATGTGGTTTTTATTGAAACATGCTTAACCATGCTTTACCATGTTTTTCCCCTTAATAAGTCGAATTTTAGAGTTTAATTTTCCCTGTATTTCCGCAGCTCAAAATAAGTCCTTGCTCATAACATTCCTACGCTTTTATGCTTTCCATTGTTTTTGAGCAATTGCCTGCGTTGTAGTCTGTCACATTGTCCACGAATCGCGGATGTTGTCGCTGTCAAGGACATGACTTTGCCTTGTAGTCCTTTCTTTTTTTTTGCACCTTCCTGCCGAGCGATTTTGTGCGATTTGACCGGGTTCGGCTTTACGAGTTAGATACCTCGTTTTTGCGGCCATTAATTTGTCATCATTTATCATATTCTCCATCATTTTTGCGTGTCAAGCGCTCGGAACTCAGCGCTCATCTTGTCCGCCCTCCGACCATTTGGATTGCTGGTTTCATTCCGCAGCCGGTGGCCAAGTTAAATGCTAGATACGTGGGTAATTACATTAGAAATGTTAATAAGGGGCGAGCATAAAAATATTGTTGCCTACTTAGGGGGCGTCATTGCCATTTACTTTATGGGCGGCCATATAATTTGTCAAATTTATGAATTGAGCGCCGCCTTCACATGAGATATATATGTATGGACACGTGGGCGGTTGAGGGATTTGCCAGGCTACCTGGCAGGTATCCTGGCAACCAAGTACGTACGTGTTTCAGCCGCAAATTCATAAGCTCAGCACTGCGTTGGCATTTAAAGAACCCAACATAAAACACTCGGAGCGAGGCGACAATGCTGTAACCTAACCCCGGGACATTCAATGTCAAGGCGCAGACTATTAAAGCAGCCCCGAGAAAATGTTTTCCACTGTCATTGCCGTATTCCCTTCGTCTGTCGTCTGTCGCCTTTCGTCTTTCGTTTTTCGCAATTTGCCATTTGCCTTGGCACAAACGCACACCTGACATTTGCGGCTGAAACTGTGTTGCTGGGGCTCATTTAGCCTGCCAGGGACAGGCAATTTGGGCCTGACCCTGACTGCGTCTATGCCAGGCTGCCACGTTGCCCTTTTTATCTCCCAACTGCCTGTGCCAGCATCTTTTTCATTATTGTGCTCATTGTCATGTGCGTTTTCCGCACCATTTTCACCTTTTCCGCCTCGCTACGCAGTTTAAATCATCACGGCAAATTAGACTTAATTACGAAACAACATGTATTCCCACTTAGGCCCTATGTTACATCTGCCACCATCCCAGATTTAGATCCCTGTGACCAAGGCGACTCGTGCTTTTTTTTCTGGTGCTCTGGATAAGCCATCTCCCTGAAAGTTGTGCGACTTATCCGATTAGCCACTTAACTTAAATAACTTATGGCACTCAAAATGTAACCTAATCGATAAATTGGGTGACAAATTAAAGCGAGGCCGAAGATCAAGTGCGGCTATCGCAGGACACTTTTCCATGAAGACGGCCGAAAGTGCCAATTCATAATTGTAATCAAACTTGACACCCATCAACCGTTCCCACGCACCCACTATGTAATCGGCTTTTGGGCACCGCCCGAATAACACTTTCGTGTTGCCTTTGATGCGGGTACTTTGCCTTTCTACTTTCGCTTCGCTTTAAGCTTGCCCCCAAATAGTCGACCTTTCATGGCGTCTGCGGTTGGCTCAGTTTGTGGTCGTAATTAGGTTTGCGGGCGGTGGTTCAATGTCCTGGTGAAATATGACAAAATGGGTAGCGATTGTTAACGAGTTTTGATAGATAAAGGCCGAACAAAGCCGACAATAAGAAAGGGAAAGCTTAGCTTTAAATACCTTTTTTGATCCATTAAATTAAAGGTTAGAGAAAAGTTCTGCTTAAGAATATAATAACCTAACAACGTAGCGAATACAATCCCATGATTGATGTGGTTTTAGTTCACAGCCAAAGTTCTTGCAATCCAAAGTTTATCTTTCATATAAAACCGTTTAGTCTGAAAGCAAAAGTTTCATTTGAGAAGTTGCGGTACGAAGTCGAGTCCCCGCAGACATTCCGGTTTTAAAGTTATATCTCTACCACCCTTTCCGTTGCGGTTGAATCTCTGGAATGTGGTTATGTTCGCCTGATTGTTTGAAAATCAGTCGTGACGGCCGATAAACGCATTTGCTGCTCCACATTGCGTATACGCCGCGTGCACATAATTGACTTAACATTTTGCGGTGCCACGCAACGTTGATGATCGCTGCTGGAAGTTGTGGTGGCGTTAAGCTAATTATTAATTAACCCATTAAACAATGAAATCCACTCAGAGAAGCGCCGTGCCACATTAAACGGCGGTCAACGCGGCGTATGCGCAATGTGCGCTCCAAAGTTTCCAACTCAACTTTGAAAGCAAGCCTGAGAACGATTAGCGCTGTGAGCTGTGAGTGACTTGAAAGCTTAATGCACAAATTTAATTTGAGAACTTGGCAATCTCGATTTCACTGGCACTCAGGCTTCCATCTCATCTCTTAGTGGCTTCCTGCTTCCTTGGGTTCCCTCTTAGTTTTATCCCCGATTTTGCTCCCATACTCGCCCTGCAGCATCATTACCAACTACTTTGTGGTCTCGCTGGCCGTCGCCGACATGCTGGTGGCCCTCTGTGCGATGACATTTAATGCTTCCGTCATGATCTCGGGCAAGTGGATGTTCGGATCCGTGATGTGCGACGTGTGGAACAGCTTCGACGTCTACTTCTCCACCGCCAGCATCATGCACCTCTGCTGCATATCCGTCGACAGGTGAGTTGCGCCTCAGTTGGCCATCGCGATTTAATTTAAATTCCATCAACTACTGATTCATATCGATACATTTAAATTGTGGCGTTAATTTTAATATTTATGATCAGAAATCTTACGTACTTACTTACTTTACTTTGAGGCTTTTCTTACTTTTACTTTGAGATAAAAAGGTTTTCCTAGTACTCTCCCCGTATCCATATTATAACTTAATATTTGTCCCATATTGTTGCTTTAAATTAAGCTTGTTTCTAATTTGTTTAATTATTTAATCTACATTAAAAGCGGAATTTTTCTTTAATTTCCTGTTGTCATAATATATTTTCCATACGCCGTTTTATGTTTTTAATTTTATTGGTATTTAATGCCATTTGTTTCTGATTGTCCTGTTTTCTTATCCTGCAGATACTACGCCATCGTCCAGCCGCTGGACTATCCTCTAATCATGACGCAGCGGCGCGTGTTCATCATGCTGCTGATGGTCTGGCTGTCGCCGGCTCTCCTCTCGTTCCTGCCCATCTGCTCAGGATGGTACACAACGACCGAGAACTATAAGTATCTCAAATCGAATCCGCATGTGAGTATCGCATTCTACGGGCTTTTAATGCATTTAATTGGACAATTAAATAAACCATTTGTGCTATGAACCCCCACTACGGCCCACACAGATTTGTTTGGACGGTCACCCACGTTGGCTGCATTATTTATTCAATTTCCTTGCACATCAAACTAATAGAAAATTCTAATTTAGTTGAAACGGTATCGACTTTGCATGCATTTTGCATGGCATCAGGCACGTGGGCGTCCTTTGACTTTTCCCCGACCCGCCTCAACGGAAATTGATTTATGTTTGTGTGTGGCTGGAGCAGTTTTACGCCTTTCAGGCTGGCAGCCGACAGGTAGCATATTTATTACTCCATTTTATTGGTTTCCTCTGGAAATACTCGGCAGTCGGCTCCCTGGAGCTCCAAGCTCTCCCGATCCATATCCATTTTTGGCCCGTCAGCAGCTGCTGTTGCCTCTTCGCCTCTGTGGTTATCATTCCGCAATAAAATGCTGATGTAGAAATAAATGTAGGTAATTCTATTCCGGTTTTGTGCGCGCACCAACGAAGCCGACTTCGGCACAGGCTGTGCATAATTTTCGGCGTTTCCACCTGCCTGCGAAGGTCCTTTGCATACGAAAGCGCCTCATCGTCGGCGACTTTAATTAGTTTTACTTGTTTATGCTAATAACTGTCAGTGCGGAGGGCCGTAAATCTGATTAGATGCCTTGTGGTGGCCTTTTGTCATGCCATCGCTGTAATGCACGGAGTAATTGAGTTTTTATTGCCGCACTTGGCATTGCAGTAATCGCATTGCCATTGCCCATACGCAACGTTGGCCGGCGAACGCATTACGCTCCATTAGGGTTCGCCGCTGGCATTCCGGCTGCATTGTTCAGTGTCCATTTTGATTTATTGATAGTCGCTAATTGAGTTGCCCGTCACTCCAACTCCGATTGCGATTTCAATTTCAATTCTCTTCCCCAGATATGCGAGTTCAAAGTGAACAAGGCTTACGCCATAGTCAGCTCGTCGATGAGCTTCTGGATCCCCGGCATCGTGATGCTGTCGATGTACTACCGCATTTACCAGGAGGCCGACCGGCAGGAGCGCCTCGTCTACAGGTAACCAGCGGCCATTCGAGTGGCCCATTCATTTGCCATCCGACAATTAACGCTAATTACTTGTGTGTCCGATACGCCAGATCCAAGGTGGCCGCCCTGCTGCTCGAGAAGCATCTGCAGATTAGCCAAATTCCCAAGCCGCGCCCGAGCATCCAGGTGGAGCAGTCGACCATCTCGACGATGCGGCGGGAGCGGAAGGCCGCCCGCACCCTGGGCATCATCATGAGCGCCTTCCTCATCTGCTGGCTGCCGTTCTTCCTCTGGTGCGTATACTTGATGCCGCCAAATAGGCGGAAATTCGCTTATACTCTGAAGTTGCGGTGCTGGGAAGGTTTTAATGAGGTTTAAATGAGATGAGGCTTAAAATGCTGCTTGAAATCTTATCTCTTAAAATATGATTGCTGGAAAATTTAATTTAATTTAATATAATTTGCTGAGGAACTATATTAAAATATTTATAAACACTGCTACTTCTTACAGTTACTGTTAGTACAAAAGCTAATTTATCCTAATCGTATTGTTTTATAAATATTAAGAATGAAATTCTTAAGTGTAGCCGATAAATACATACAAATATTTAAATACTACATATGTATAAAAAAGTTTGTCCTACTTTAAGTAAATTTATAACTACACACTCGCTAATTTAAAGTTCAAACTAACCATTACCACCTCTCTAATTGAATGGCAGGTACATTGTATCCTCGCTGTGCGATAGTTGCATCACTCCGCGCCTCCTCGTTGGCATCCTGTTTTGGATCGGCTACTTCAACTCGGCCCTGAACCCCATTATTTATGCATACTTCAATCGCGACTTCAGGGCCGCCTTCAAGAAGACCCTCAAGGTGAGTTGCGGGCTGGCCGTCGAGTAATTTGCATTTATTTTCGACTTCGACATCTTGATGGGACTTTTATTCTATTCAATTTCGCTTTGTTCGGGCATCCAAAAAAACTGAATTCTCTGCACCACCTTAGACTTAGTACAGGGCTTCGGCAACTGCTGCAATCGCAAAGGAAAGGGCCGTCCACACCCACATCCACTGCACAGAAGCAGCAGCGGCAACCATATCGACAGCAACTGGCAACTCGGCCGTCCAGCCAACAGCAGCGTCCAACAGAAGAGGGTCACGCTTAGCAATTATTTTGGTAGCTATTGGTGTCGACAGTGCACAGAGAAAGAACGGCTACAGAATTGTTCATTTGAATAAGAATTTTTTAAATCAAATTAATTAGGAGACAAACATCATCAAATAAATATAGGTTAAAGTTAGTTTTTAATTTAATCAAGCCATTAAATAGCTTTAATATAAGAAAGGAGATGTATCTCCAATTAAACCTTATTCGCAATGAGTTTTTAGCGAAACAAATAATTTTTTGTTTATTTAATTTGTTAATTTATCTTAAAATTTTAATATAAAACAAGTCAAAAAGAAGTTATTTTTCAGTCAAATATCTCTCTAATTTATAGAATATCATGCTTAATGACTACCAAACATAAAGATGTATTTAAATTTTTAGATATTTTGTGATGAAAAATCTGAGATGCCAATTAGAGTACATAGTAGCGATTTTTTCTCTGTGCAGCTGTGTGAACGGCGGAAAGTGTAGAAAGCGTAGCGTTCATATTAGCTGATTGAAATGCTTCATCTTCTGGTTGCTAAGCAAGAAAAATAGCTTTTCCTCTGCCTGAAGAACTGAAAACTGTGCACGTTCTTTGCTCTACTGCTCTGCCTGCGCCTGCTCTCTGTCTCTCTATCAATTTCCTATTGGGTTGGCGGAGTGAAGTGGGCCGAATGCTCGGGCCTTCTAATCGCTTGAACATCTTGCTTACCACTTTTCACACACATAAGTACCATCTACCATCTCTCTTTCCACGCACAGCTGGCGCTTACTGTGCTGATTCGTTGCCTGTGGCCCAACAAAAGCTAAGCGCGCCAAAGTATGCAACAAGAAACAGAAAGCATAAAACGTAATATTTAAATTAAAACTGAACCTCTTCTCTGTATATGTATGCGTATGCTTGCCCACACACACACCCACACCCACACCTGATCCACACGAGCGTAAATGCTGATGATGAAATGTTATTCTTTCTCTAAAAATTCTCCCTTTTATGCTGCACACTTTGACACACCATCAACACACACACACACAAATACACAGGGTCCTTGGTCGTCCCTTTTTTTATACGAATGCGCGGCCTTTCATTTCGTTCAGCATTTTTTTGTGAACGTTTTTCCATTTTTTTCTTGTTTTCCCTTGCTCCCTTTATCTTTTGTTTTTTGTGTGAAACCAAATTGTCACAGACATGTGCCGCCACCACCCAAAACCAAGCACCCACCACCCACCACGCCCCCTGTCGATTGTCGCCCGTACCACGCGGCGTATGCTTAACCTTTGAGTGCTGTACAGTAGCGAGCTAACTCTATTAAATTACATAGCGTTACTACTCTAAGGGAAACCAGCGAGGTTATTGTCCCCACTGATAGTCGGGTGTTGTTTTCTGTCCCCGCAGAGTCTCTTTCCGTATGCCTTCTACTTTTGCCGCCGAGGCAGGGGGCGGGATGATGACCGGGACCTGGAGTTCGGCAATCCCAGCCGGCGGGGAACCAATGGCAACCAGCGCGCCGGATCCGGATCCGCCGAGCTGGCCAACTGCGTCAACTCCACGGCCTCGTCGGAGATTCACATGAGCGTGATGCGTGCCCGCCAGTATGCCGTCAATGTCACGCCCACCACGGATGCCCAGATGCAGCAGCTGCATCCCCTCTACACCAACTAGACCAGCATGGCGTATACTTGATTTCAGCTCCAGTGCCCCACGATGATGATGATGTCTGCAGATGACGACTGTTCAACTGTTCAACTGTTCTCCAAAACACCAGAATGCCAGCTTACAAATAAATTACTCGATTACTCGACAAAAAACATTCCTCAAGAGGGCTGAAAAAGAATTTAACCACAAACAATAGCTACAGCAAGAGCAACAATACGACAATCCCACAGATTAAAGAAAGCCTTCAATAAAACAACAAATTGACGTGCAAAATGAATTGAAATATAAATAGAAATATTTCGACCTAAATATTTACCTGTCACCGAGTCAGGAATTTCATAAAGAGATGTTTATAAGTGCGCAAGCAAATAGATATGTGAATTGAATGTTTGATATACGTATATAAAAATGCTAGATGTTAACCCACAAAAATATGAGATATGCATTGATTGAAATAATACTCGAAAAGAGAAAAATATAAAAGCTACAATTACACTGTGCGACAGTGGCTTTGTACTTCATCTGAGAAAAAGAGTAAGTTTATAGTTTGATTGAGTAATTCTTGTAATTGATTTTTTTCCGCCTCTGAATTTGATTATCTCTGGAGAGTTTAAAACAAAGTTGAAATTTTTTCAATTTGGAAATGATTTCTAAGCTTTTTGATTTAATTTTATTCGATTAGCGAATAAAGACTGATTTTTTTTGTAAGCTCAGTTAAAGGCCAAGTTGAATTTTGTAATAAGTTTTGTAAATATAAATACTTGAGTAAATCTTCTTTAACTTTGTTTGTAACTTTAATTCCTAATTCTTCAAACATACGGACAAAGGTCATTTAATTCGTTTAAAACCTTAAAATAATGTAGTTCATTTAACTAACATCAATTTATATATGTCATAATGCATAAACGTATAAACTAAATATATAGAGCCTAAAGCACGACCAACATATCCATTGGGTCTATTAGCCTCAGTACTTAGCCATCAACTTTGATGTTTCCCGACTTTAAGTCCCACACTGTTGTTGTAGTCGAGTTAGGGCTAGAGCTATATATTATATACGAAATATACCTGTAGCTATGTACCTCTATCTGCAAATAGATGCAACCGACATTCATAGAACTGTTCTGTGACTAATTCCTACACAACGCTACTCTTTGCCTGGACAATCTCAACGGAGCACAATAAACTTAACCTTCAGACTCCAAGCCTGTTTAGTTAACTTTCGCTTTCGTCTCGAATTAGTAGGAGAAATAAGAGAAATTATCAGTAACTGCCACGCCCTATTTGTCACCGCCATTGCACCCATAAATCAAAGGTGGTTCAGCGGAAAGCTGGCTGGAATTGTTTGCCTAAAATATCAAATCGTTGCAAAAAATATATACGACATGCATAAAACGCCGACTTTTACTTACGATTCATAGTCATTATTTAAAGCGCCGGCTTAAGAGCTCACCGCCGTCGACAAATGAGCATCGGCCGTCTCTTTCGGCGGCACTACACCCCTCCTTTTCTGTCAATATTTGCTTTATTTAACTCGCAACGGCGCTTTGTTTAAACTGCGGAACGCCCACGAAAAAGTTGGCAGTCAGCAGTGTTGATAACATTTCAAATGTAGCCAAATATTGTTAACTAAATTACGCGTCGAACGATAAGAGCCTCGAGTACAAAATGCGAATGCTCTTTAAACAGTTTTCCTTTCACTAAAATAACTTTAAAGTATTTATTTTTGCTTACATAAGTCATTTCTTTGTTGCCACAAGTGTTTCCAGGTGCAATGCACTTCGGTAGAAGGTCCACTGAAATATTGCATCCGTTCATCGAGGAAATGAAACACACGAGTATATATCTTATCAAGTCGAATACAGCTGTGTTCAAGCTATAATATATATGATGTCTAGAATAATTAAAATAAATTACAAATATTATAATTACAATATTTTCAACACAGCTGTATATTAAAAACCTCAAACAAGTAGTGTTCAGACTACTTCCCCTTACCCCATGAAATAAGGGTATTTTCTCGTAAAAGTGTGGCACGTGTCCGTAAACCACCTGGATCGCAGCACCAACAACAAAAACGGCCATAATTAACAAATATACGATTTAGTTTAACCGCAAATTGGCATGTCAACTCATGGGGAGCATGTGACTTTAAATAAAAGCAAACTAAAAGGTGGCGTATACGTAAAAGTAAATAATTAAATTATGGCAATTAGGTAAAGCTCACGACGATTACAGTCGCTTGGAAAAGTATGCTAAGTCATTCCATGATGCAATCATAATTTGATAAGTCAAAAATTCTCGCACATTCCACACAGACTCTTTAATTACAATGACTTGTGCAACTATTTCTGCCAGCGACTGTATTTTGATCTTATGACTGATTCATTTTATTTCGATTTCTACGTTTTTCACAGTGATTGTTGCGAAAAAAGAAATACAACGGATAATTTAGCTGAGAGAGGCTCAATGTTCAAATGCAAATTCTCATTCAAATGCACTCATAGAAATCGAAGCCAAACCAAATTAAATTTAATTAAATGTCCAACAGAAACGCTGAGCTGAAGCTTATTTTGTAACAAAAAAAAAGAAACTGAGTGTCTAAAAATAATGGTAGTCAAATAATTGTTGAATATTGTATGTGTTATGCATGTGAATAGTTGGAATCAATGCATTAAAAAGCGAAACAAAATAAAAGAGAATTTTAAAATCAGACCACATTAAGGTGATTACTAATTAATGCGAAATTCATATGTTCATACGTAACTCGGCCACATGGCATTAAATATGAATTACAAATAAAGGTGACAAACAAGAGGAAATGTTAATTAAATTGCGGAAAATATTTACAAAACAACTAACAGCTAGCACGGATCTTGTGGTCGATTGTCGGTCAATTTCGGAATTGTACTCAGATACCTTCCAAGTTTCACAAGAATAAAACCATAGGCGAAAACCCCTCGACTTAAGTAAATGTTAACATGTGCGTTTTTCAGTGGAAACTATATTAAATTATACATATATATTTATTATACAAAGGGATATGTTTACGGTGTATGCATGTATTGTATATAGTATCTCGATACATATAAATTAATGAAATGAAGCAATTACAATCGTATGGAATAAAAGTAAAGGTAATAATAAAAAGGTTCAAAACATCATATGAGTTGCTGCTTTTCATTTTCTCCATTTTCCCCCGTTCCCACGACGAACTTCATTCCAGTTCAGGTAGAGATGCGATGGATGGCTCGACGGGTTATGGTCGTTATGAGTGATTGTTATTGCTATACGTATCTCTAAACTTTTTCTGTATTAACTGATATGCATTGTAGACTCTGTGAAATTTATAGCCACCAATCGTCGGCGATAAGCCAAAAAAGAAAAGAAACAAAGGGGGTCGAGTGAGTACAGGAAATGTGATTAAAATGGAGTGCCAATTCACCTCTCTTTCGCCGCCTTGAAGGACTTCTTTCGCTGCTTGAGACACGCCTTGTCCTGGGCGGCATCTGGATTGGGCAGATCGTTGGGCGATATCATGGTTATGTTATCCGGATGGCAAAAGAACGCTATCGAGTGGCGACCTCGGGCCCGAATGTGTTCCTGTTCTGGTATAACCACGCGATGTTGCTGGGGGAATAACACAAATAGATTAGATGGGCTTTCATAAATTGCATAGTCTTTAAAGGGGTTACACCAGCTTTAAAAATAAATTTATGATTCTTTTGAATCTTTGTATTGACAACGACTAAAAAGGTTAAGTCATTTTTCTAACTTTTTCCTTAACTAACTTGTTGTTTAAATAAATTATAGTGGCAAAGCCAATTGAATATATACAAGCATATTGAATACATATAAACATATTGAATATATACAAACATCTTTCAAATTATTTCACTATTAATTTATTGCTGGGGAATAAGTTACACTTAAAATCTAAGATGCTCACCAATGCGGGATATCGCTCCTGAGTCCAAATATTCAGGATCTCGCCGACGTTGACGAGAATTGAGCCGGGAAGGTGGCCGACGCGGTGCCACTTTTCGCTGCCGGGCAGCTTCACCTCCAGCCCGCCCTCCGAGTCCTGGGAGAGCAGGGTGAAGGTGCCGTAGTCCACGTGGGGTGGACACTGGATGACCGCTCCGCTGCCCAGCTTGTGCTCGAACAGCTGGCCGTTCGGTCCGTCCACCTCGTTGAGGTCGTCCTCGTCGCGGGGATTGTGCTCCGGCCGGAAGTCCGGCTGGTTGGACAGACAGCGCTGGTAGCTGTACTGGCAGCGCCCCTTGATCACGTCGTTCTGGCCGGGCTCGTCGTCCACGATCGGCGGGTAGTAGAGCATGCGCAGGGAGCTCATGTTGTCGTGGTCGCCAGACAGCATGTGCGAGTGCTTTTCGAGGAAGAACGTGTGCGGAATGTCCAGCGAGACGGCCAGCGCCTGCAGGATGAAGCTGGCCAGCGCCTTAAAGTCCGTGGCCAGCGTGCTGATGTGGTCCGCGAATCCTGGCAGCGGTTCCTCGGGCAGATTCTGGGCGTTCAGTGTGCTGATGTTGAAGGCGTGGCGCAGTTCCGGCGCCTTGCCATCAAATCTCTGCTGGCCGCGACTCACGTAGCCGTGCTTGTCCCCATCCGCTCGAATATAGTGTTGCCTCACGTCGGGTGGCAGGTCCACGAAGTCATCCAGGTGATCCCAGGCAGTCTTTAGCTGTTTCAAGAACACGAAAAAATGTCAGATTATCCCATTTAAAATGCAGAAATATTTAAATTGCTTAATACCCAGAATTCTGATCAACACTTCTTATCTTACAATTATTTGTAGTTTTGAGTTCTAAGAATTATTTCAGATTTTGAATAAAACATTTTAGAAATTTGATGATTAAAACTTTGACCCTGACTCGGACCTTGAAATTGTGTTTTTTTTTATCTCTATAGCGATATGTTTCCCCGGGGAATATATACTATTAACTCCTATCAGGCTGATAGTATATTTTCATACTGAGATTTCGGAAAAGACTTGCAGATTGCTGGTCGATTTATGACGTTCTTGATTTTAAATAGCCCGGGGAATTTGTCGATTCAAGATCAAGAATAAAAAAACAAATTTATTGTAATCGGTGTCAAAATTTATTTAAATTTCCTTTGGGGCTATTTTTAAGAGGAATTTATTAAACTTGACGTCAATTGTCTGCAACCTTTAAGCAAATTTATTTTGCTTAACATAAATGTTTATTTCTTAAGGCCAAGTTTGGTTTTCACCAATTTACCCACATAATAAAGAGTAAGCTATATATCTTTGAATATTTGAATTTGAATTTAAAGAACCTTCTTTTATGATTTTACTCATCTAAAGGTATTTATTTACTATTTTTGAACTGCTTAAACTTTCTTTGTGATCTTACCTTCTCGTCTGATATGCCATGGTTGACCAGCAGGGCCATGCCCTTCTCGGAGAGGGCTTTCTTCAGCTGGTGACCCACGCGATTGACCACCGACTTGACCGGCACCTCCTCGATACCTGGAAAAAGTGCAATCGGGATAGGGAGAGATTAGTTGGCGTGGGAATAACCAGCGGAACTGCCACTCAACCGCTAATTGTTTTGTGGCCGCTCGTTTATGGCTTCTTCGAATTGTTTTCCACCTGGCCATCATAAAGTATGGGTCGTGTTTATGGCGTATTGTATGAACACTCTATGGCCGAAGGCAATAAATAGCTGGCTCGCGAGCACTTGGCCGTTGATTTGAATGTCAGGGCCCATTGAGAAGTGTGGCTAAGAGGCGTCCCACGTACACGTGCCTTAAGTCCAGCACTTGGTTGAGATAATCGGGTGCTTGGAATCTCTGATGAGCCACAATCGCACAATGGCAGGCAAAAGGCGAGCTCGATAATGTGCGATAGCCCCCATGCAATAAAGGTAAATGCAATCAATTTCAATGCAACGATGGCGGCATTGACAATGCACAGCGGAAAATTAAGTAGAAAATGTGCGGAAAAGCCGCAGCGGAAGTGCTGGTTTCACCCCGCCCCAACCAACCATTTGGACTTTCAACCAGATAGCTAGCTTTATCTGGAAGAAGAGCAGGGTATTTCCCTTGCTAGAGACCTTGCACCGACCGCCAATGTGATCACTTACTCATTGAGGGACAGGAGAAGTCATGAATGAAATCGCGGAATGCAAAGTAATTATATACTTCCCCGCCAGTGTCACACCGGGCGTATGCGCAATCTATAAATAGGTTTCCTAGGCACTACTGGAAGTCACTTTTTGCCTTTCTGCCTGCCCTAAGCTCCCGTTTCGGCCAGTGACGCACTGCGCCCGCTGACTGATAAGGGTTTTCAGAGCTTCCAGCATTTCACAAATAATAACAATTACGATTGCTTATCATTCCGGGTAAGAGAGCTCTGTCGCCAGGCGGGAAGTATTATTACGATTGTTATTTGCTCGACGGGGAGGCAGATCCGCCAGATGATGTGCGGAATGATGATGGGGCGGCGGATAGGTCAGTCGGACGAACCGAATGATTCCAATTGATGCCAGCAGCAGCAGCGGATCGCCTTTCGTTTTCATTAGGCGGCGGTCCAGTTTTATTTTTGTTTTGCTCGTTTTCCGTGCGGTTTCTTGATTTCTGCTGGCATGCAATTCAATTAGGCGGCAATTGGGATGCGAGTCGCTTTTCAATTTGCCATTTTTCAGTTTTCAGCTTTCAGCTACCGAGTTGTCAGTGCTAACTTGTCGCTAATTTAGCTAATTGAGTCAGTAGATTCAGTCGGTCGGTCGGTTCCGTAGAGGAGGCCAAGTCGCTTGAAGATCATCTATCTCGACCGCGGTCGCTGCCAGAATTTCTCGACGTCTCGATTTGTTTTCCTTGTGTTTTATTGTGTTTTCTTTTTGATTGGCGCTTGCTGTACTAATTTATCGTCCAAATTGATTGGCTTTTATGCATTTATGGTCGGACATAAATTGCGGGCACGCGTTAAGCATTTCTATTGTTTGTTTTCAACGCCATTTGATTCTGTATTTTTGTAATTTAATTGAAACGGGCAATTGAACTCTCTGTACACTTGGAAAAATATGAACTGTAAGGTTTACAAATTCTCTAATATGTTTAATTGTAAATTGTATTTTCATTATAATTTATGAATCGATATCTGGTTGTTGCAAAACAATGTAAATTAAATGTCTAAAGCTGTTCAAGTCAAAATGTATTGAAAATGTGGTTTTAAGTGTGAGTCTTTTGTAGCCATCGGAATTTCCATTTACTCATGCGCGGGAAAACCCCTTAAACATAATCCACAAATAGATCCCAAATTCGCCACTTGAATCCCTCGGTTGAATTAATTCAATTCAATATTTATAGACCCATTCGAGCTCGTATATATGTACATGCCAATTTAGTTGCGGAATTTTCGCGGAGAAATATGGCTGTGCAGTATAACTTATTTATAGAAAACTGAAATGCGGCTATTGCATGAGGATGAGGGGGAAATGGTTTGCAGATGTCGGGCTAATGGAAAAATGATTTCAATGGCATTGAAATATGCGGGGACAGAAGTCAACGGCATCGAGGTAATTGGCCAGAATAATATTATGGGGCAATGAATAAAAGTTAGCATCAATTTGTTGAAGGCTGCAAATTAGTTTGGCCAGCTGTCAATTTGATTTGCCAAGAGAGCTCAATTCATGGCAAAGTTATGCGAACTTTCAGGTGGTGTCATTAACCAATTTGTGGGGTCAAGAGAAATCCGCCCAAGTCGAGCTGGCAATTTCTACAGGCTGCCAGAGAAACAGGCAAAACGCGATTGTGGCCATTAAACAAAGCGCCAGGCACGTCAGCCGAGCCAAGAATCAACAGGTTTAAGCTGGTTTCGATCGGTTGCTCGGCAAAAGTCCAACTACTTAACATGCTCGCACTGCCGTTGGGCCCTCGTATTTCGGTAGTATAGTTAGTATCGCTTGTTGTTTCCGAATAAAACAAGGTGAGGTGTGCCGATGACGCCGAGGAGTGGATCCCCAAGCCCCAAAAAGTCGAGATGCGTCACTGCGGTGACCGTCTCCAAACTGGTAACTCCGAAACACGGGAAACTGGTCAGCGGCAGTGTGTAAATAAAGCTGCAATCACTGCTTATTGCAGTCACAACAAAATCTGGTTTCGTAACTCAAATAATTGTAAATATTTTGATGCGCTTTGTTTGAGTTTCCGCACTGGCTACAGTGACATTGGGCTCCCCAGCCCACAGAAACAAAAAAAAAACATTCCACAAATGCCACAAGTCCGACTTCCAATATAGTTCAAAAACCTCTCCACCTCGGAGTCAGTAAAAAACACAAAATAAATAAACAAAACAAAGGAAAGAAAAAAATCCAATTGAAGTTCCGTTGACATAAAATGCCGCAAGGCAGCGATTTAATTGCTTCTAGCTGCTTTGGGGGTCAATGGCTCTGATGGGGCGAGAAGGTCAAGAGAGTGCTCCCACCAAGGCCAGGCCCCACTGTACCTGTGCTCGGGTGAGCCCTCGGCGAAACTTGCGGCCAGATAAGCAGGCCCAGTGCGTATGCGCCGCTTTTCCATGGCGCATTACACCGGAGAAGGAGAAACCGTAAGTGTGTCACGTATCGGCAAAGACCCAGTTAACGTTAACACAATGGGCACGGCTCCGAAATAGGCAAATGGAAAATTTTGGTGTGGCCAAAGAAGGGCAGAAGAAACGCCGAAGAACAAACAAAGCCATTAAATCTGGTGGAACGAATGTTAACTCCAGGTATGCAAGAGGTTATCCAAAGAAACTCTTGGTACTCTTGGCAGAACATAAACACAGTTCAAAAATACATAAACTGAATGTGTGGCAAGGAAAGTGTATACCTTTTCCGAAGTATCTCAAAGATACTACCCTACTATTTATCTGACAAAGCATGTAGAGTAATCTTTCAGAATGCTATACATATTCATTGGTTCCAATGCTTATAAATATTTATATGTTTTGATTAGTACACTTGAACTTGTTCCTCACCATAAATAAACAAGACTTTGTCACATTTGAGAGCAAATACAAATCTAAACAAAAACTGATTTAGAGAGCAATATCTCACAAATAGCTGATGATTTATAATACCAAGAAATCGCACCAAAAAAACAGGCAACAGCAGCGTGATACTTGCCAGCTTTCTACACACAAAAGTACTTCATAGATTAACTATCTATTTTCAATTAGTTGACTTAAAGCGATAAGGTATAGGTTCTTCGTCGTTTCTTGATCATATTTTCTCCCATTAACTTAGCATTATTCATTATTCTTAACAGAGAATCTGGGATCAGGTGTCGGTTACACAAGTCAATAATTACTTATAATTAACTACGTCGTAGTTGAAGAACCACGATCAAAATTAAGTAACTGCAATTAAGCGAGGGAGCCCCTTTTAGCCCTGAACAATTGGGAATAGTCACCCAAACAGAACTGTCGATGACTCAATGACGAGTGCACTTAATTAAACCCAGCTGAATACGGAGTTTTCAAGTGCACATAAAAAAATTTGACAAAATTAAATAGATTATTTATTTTTGTACCCACCACTCAACTAATCTTAATATTATCAATTTTAAAAACGTCATAGCATTTAAGTGGCAAAGTGGAATTTGCTAAATATATAATTTTGAAATGTCGAAAATTTTTATGACTTTGGCGCATCTCATAATTTTGTGAATTCATGAATCATGGATTTATTTAACTTTTTATTTTGTTTTTTGCACCATTCGATGGGAATTTTACTGAGTTTGCATTCAAAGAATTTGTACACAACATAAACAAAAAGCAATAAAAAGTTGAAAGACAACTTCCTCTGATAAAACACAAATGTGACTGTTCTGGAATGTTAACTTATGATTTTACTGAGTTTAGATAATAAACTTTAGGATTTAAGGCAATAACAACATAAAAGCATAAAAAACCATAAACTACACCACAAAAAATTGTAGCAGTAACTTATTCTCTTCAGTTATTCTTTTTAGGTGTTTGATTTTTATTTCGCACAAAATTAAAACGTAGCACTAGAACAGAATTTATCGCACCAGGAACTCCCCCCAATCCATTTCACATTTTCGAGACATGTCACAGATAAGTGTTATTTTTTAATGGAAAAACTCCTCCATTGATGGCAAGTTTTGCCATTTTTTCGCCGTGCACGAATGCTGGCTGAAATCGCTGGCCTAGCAACGAGTTCGAGTGGCGATCAGCAGCGCGTTTAATGGGTTTAATGGGGTGGTGCCATGGGGGGTATGATGGACAGGGGGGGGAGGGGGCTACTTACCACAGTGGGCGAGATCGATGATCGGAACCACGCTGCGCGAGAGGAGCGTGTCGAGTTTGTCGTCGCTGCTCTTTGTTTTTATCATTTTGTATGTGTGTGTGTTGCGTATTCCAGAGGGTCTTCGACGTCTAAAGTTCTTTGGTTTTTGATTGGGGAGCGATCGAACACTCGCCGCACTTGTGCTCGCTCCTTACCTTTATCACAAACTGGGGGACTGGAAACCGGAGGGGGGAACCGGAGACGAAGTGCACTTCCAGCGATGGCCGACTAAATAAAACTGAATGGCAGCAACGCACAGAATTCGATTATTAGACTGGTTATACCGATTGGGGGGAAAAAAAAACAAACATTCGAATCGCGCATCCGAGTGTTTTTATTTTTGTTTGAATTTTCGCTATTTGTTTTTGCAGCGGCTATTGTTTTTGTTTGGCTAGCGAGCAAACGCTTTGACAGCAGAAATGGTTGTTAAGAGGGGGAGGGGGTTTCTTGGGGGTTTACGATCCGATACGATCCGAAACACGAACGATTGGGTGATTGGTGATTTTAGAAGGGCGCGTGGCGGACGAGAGGCGATCGAACAATCGCTGCGCGCTTCTTGGAGGAACTGAACGACCCCTTTTTTTTGGGGGTTCCGACTTGTGGCTCTTATCGCACCCAGTTTACGATTTTATTTTGCGAAAACCAACTGATTGCCAGCGGTCTAGTATGTGGAATGCCTGCATGTGCGTCGCAATTAGATAAAATTTAATCAAATCAAAAATTGTGATAACTAAATTAGCACTTGTCGTTCGGGGGGGAGGGGGTGGAGGGGGGTACATCTGAGCCAGCTGCGTACTCACAGTGGCAATGTGTAGGTACTCCAGCTTGTGGTGAGCTGGGCCGAAAGGTGAGACTATGCAAAGCCGTCAACAGGTAGCAACGTCTCGGTTTGCTTTTGCAATATTTGTGATGGCTATTAACGTGGCTCAGGCAAATACATATTCGAGTATATATATATGCACATGAGGTACAGATACAGATACTCTGGTGTGAGTTTGCTCTGGCATGTACCTTGTATTTTGAATCTTGTATCTTGTATCTGGCAGATCCCGTTCGGCCGTTTAACGGCACTCGGGCTCAGGTGTGAGCCCTCCTGCCGCCTTTTCACCCCCTAAATAAACCAGCTGAGCGATCTCGTCGCTGTTGCCAAGCGGTTTTCTTCAGGAAATGCCGGATGAACAAAGTCTGGGTCTGCCAGTCTGCATGGATGCGGTTTTTAGGGAGGGGGTTTAGAGTCACAAAGGGGTATCTGGGTATCTGGGCATGAGTAAGCGTTTGCCTCGCCTTTCGCTGCAAAAACAATCTGCCATCGAATGCCAACTAAAAACTACTCGAAGCGCCCATTCAGCTGAAATTGTGACTTATACCGATGGGCATTTGCTTTTGCTTACAGTGAAAACTCGCTTTCTTTTTTCGCACAGGTTTCGCTTTTCATCGAACACCCGACCCGACGAGCAGTTGGCCAACAATCTACTTAGTCAATTTTCGTATCGCTTTCTGATGCTTCTTTTGCACACTTTCCATCATTTTGTAACACACTAGACACTCGCGAATTTAACCTAGATACACCTGAACTAGTGCAGAGAGGAACGGCGTCTGTCTCAAAACATTTGCGATCCGCGATTTCGGTCGCCTCGGATCCAGTTCGAATGCGATCCCCACCTTATCGGTAGTCGCTGTTGGCACCTATCGATATTTCTCGAGTCTCTAAGATCGGGTAAAACGCCCGTTAACATTTCGGTGTTATATCTGACCGATTTCTACATCAGCAATTACATTTTACCTACGAAATAAAGTAAAATGTAGTATCTTAAAGATACTTCTAATCCATTATGATTTTAGGTGTTGAGATATGAATTTCAATATTAAGAATTTTATTAATAAATTTTAGGATTAAAAAATGATTTATTTTGTGATGTTTGGTTTTGTTTTGTGAAAAATCCCTTTAACATTTTCTAACGTCTTCATGTAAAAAGTAAAATAAATGTTTTATGAAATAAAAGTGCCATAATTTATTTAGATTTGGACAAATTACAGTTGTAAAATTGCTTTATTAAATATACCAGTTTCATGTGTCTATAGCTGTAATAAAGTTTTGCCCCAGATTCGTTGATTTATTGAGATCGCTGACCGTAGGTGTCATTAAACTTTTTCTGTATCAGTTCATAGGCGCTGTATACTCTTGGGGTTAGAAAACAAAATAAATACAAAATAGTAATTGAAATATATTACAAATCTTACTTGTCATTACTCTGTTCGACATCTTCAGCCAAGAGATCGTTGGGAGATATCATTGTCGAGTTATTGGGATGGCAAAAATAGGCAATGGAATGTCTGCCGCGGGTTCGTATATGATCTTGTTCAGGTATAACGACCCGATGAGGCTGGGAAATGTGGAAAACAAAGTATTAGCTAACTGGGGAAATTTCTGCCTCTCAGGAATAACCTACCAATGCGTGGTATCGCTGCTTCGTCCAGATGGACAGGAGTTCCCCGCCATTTATGAGAATGGCTCCTGGTAGATGGCCCACTCGTTCCCACTTCTCGCTGCCAGGCAATTGCACCTCCAAGCCACCTTCCGAATCCTGAGTGAGAAGGGTGAAGGTGCCATAGTCCACATGGGCACCACACCGTATGGCACCCTCACTCTGACCAGGTTCATCATCCACAATCGCCGGATAGTAGAGCATCCGTAGGGTGCTCATGTTGACCTCATCGCCTTCGAGCATCTGGGAGTGCTTGTCGATAAAGAAGGCCGGAGGAATCTCCAAGGCCACCTCCATGGCCTTCAGTATAAATGTGGACATGGCCTTCAAGTCCTGACACAGTGTAGTAATATCCTCTGCAAATTCTGGCAGTGGCTCCCTCGGAATATTCTGATCATCCAGTTTGCAAATATTGTAGGCGTGCCGGAGCTCTGGGGTGCTTCCATCGAATCGTTCCATTCCAGGACTAACGTAGCCATAGTTAACGCCATCCTTTCTCCTGTAGCGATCCTGAACCTCAGCTGGCAGATCCAAGAAGTTGTCGAATTGATCGTAAACAGCTTTAATCTGAGGGGAGAACAAATGATAACACAAAATTCGCTTGTAAATGATCAAAACTGACCTTATCTTCGGCTATTCCATGATTAACCAGGAAAGCGATTCCCTTCTCGGTGAAAGCCTTATGCAGTTGCTGACCAACCCTATTGACAAGGGACTTGCCTGGAAATTAACAGTCATAATTAAATAAAATAAAAGTACCAACATGTTTTATCAAATATTTTTTTAGGGATGGTGGGAAATATTTGGAAAGCCAACCCTATCCAACCCTACCCACAATATTTACAATATGCTGGTCCCCCACAGATTGCTTGTTTATTATTAAGTTATCTTTATTTAAAAAGGTTTGTTGTGAAATCTTACCGCAATGGGCGAGATCGATGATTGGCACAGCGCTCCGCGAAACAAGGGTTTCCAACTTGTCCTCACTTATCTTGCTCTTTATCATTTTAAGTAAATTAAGACCCGCGGAGGTAAATCAAATACGAGAACGATTGCGTCTGAAAAGTCAGAGCTCTAAAAACCGAGTACGATGTGAACACCACGCGCTTCTCCGGGAGACTGACCCAAACAGAACCCGACAATTCCATTATTATTATTGTCTAATCGGTACTCTCAAAGATAATATTGTATTGCATACTTTCAGGGTTCATTATTTTATTCAAGCGAGTTATTACGACCCAATGACTTCGAAAATTGTACATAAATTACATTTTTCAGCTGTGAATGGCGATTGATTAGAAACTTGATAACGAATCCAATGAGACATTGACTTTTTTCAGATTTTTTTTACTTTTCGGATCTTCCTGATTTTCGCCATCAGTTTTTCCTAATAATTATTATGCCCATATGCGCCTTTTGCCAAAGACATAGCTAAATCATAAGCGTTGTGTATTCTGAAATAAAATAATAAACGAAAATTGGATAGATTAAAGTGTTGGTAAGCTACTCACATTCCAGTTGTCGACTCCTTAAGTGGAATATTTAGCTCTTTAGGGTCTATCATGGTTGAACTATCAGGATGTCAAAAATAGGCAATAGAGTGCCTGCCTTGCTGGCGAGTAGAAGTCTGATCAGGAACAACCACTCGATGTTGCTGAGGAAAGTAGAAATATAAATATGTTATGATACCTCCAGATAAAGTTATATAAATATACCAGGGCGTGATAAAGCTGATCTGTCCACATTGCCATGGTTTCGCCGCAGTTAATGAAGAGTGCTCCCGGCAGATGACCCACTCGCTCCCATTTGTCACTGCCCCGCAACTTGACCTCCAATCCACCCTCCGAATCCTGCGCCAGCAGAGTGAAGGTGCAATAGTCGGCATGGGCTCCGCAGCGGATAACTTTTCCAGGATCTTGATCCTCCACCGGTGGGTAGTAGAGCATCCGTAGGGTGGTCAGATTAAAACGATCGTCGGATAACATGTAGGAGTGCTTATCGGAGAGGAACGACGGGGGAACATCCAGGGAAAGGGCCAAAGCTTGAAGAATTAATCTACCCAAAGCATTAAAGTCATCAGTCAAAGAGCTTATGTGCCTAGTAAATCCAGGCAGCGCCTTTTCGGGAAGAAATTCATCCTGCAACTTGCATATATTATACGCATGACGTAGTTCCGGTGTCCTGCCATCAAATCGTTCCATTCCGGGACTCACATAACCGTGATTTTCGCCATTTGGAGCCTTGCTTCTTTCGTAGGCCATTCTGACTTCCTCTGGTAACTTAACAAATCCATCGAAATACTCCCAGGCTATCTTGATCTACATATACAGTTTTTATTTAGGTTTTAATGGTCAAATATTGGATTGAATTAAATACCTTCTCATCTGAAATTCCGTGATTGATTAGCAGAGCATAACCCTGTTGTGAAAGGGCCTGTCTTAGATTTTTGGCCACGTCTTCAATGGCGTTTCCCAAATCTATAATCGGAACTGCATTTCTCGAGAGCAGCGTCTCGATCTCAGATTCCATTATCACTTTGTATTATCAGAATTTCTTATCGAGTGAGCTGGGATTGATGTTACTACGAGCACAAGAATTATGAGACTGAAAGTCAAAACAATGAATTTACATTTGAAAATAAAGCGAAGGAGAATATAAATAAATATTTTATATATATGCAACAATTTAACTGTATACTTTTAGGTTGATTTTGAAAATTCTAAATATTACCCATTATCATGTAGAAGATACATTCTAAACAGTTTATTATGTTTGAGTGCAGCCCCATAGCAAATAACCCATGTATATAAAGACAATCACCGTTTTCATATGAATCGTTTGTTTATTGTTTGCAAATATAATATACATAATTACATTTCATCATAAAATTGGGCATGACAAATGGGGACAGTTAGGCGCTGAATTGTTCGACAGGCAACCTTCGACCTTCGACCTTGCCATTCGCCTGTCCAACCTTGCCCGCGACTCACACAGTCCATAGGATAAAATCTAATCACTAAACTATAATATTTGGTACTATTACACTATCCCAATACAGAAAGTGCAACGATCTCTTGCACTCTGCAATGGCGACTGATCCAAACAAGTACAAAAGGGGCCGCTTTCCTCGAACTAACGAAATACTACGAAACAAGCTTACAAGAACTACAGGTTGTATTATATCCATCTTGACCTATGTATACCTAGGGGAGGATATCTGAGGGGATTGGGATGGGGATGGGGATGCGGATCAGGGGGAGGGGGAGGGGCAGGGAAGGAGCATTAAAGTAAATGTGCATAGCTTAAGGTAGCGCCAACTAACGTCGCTTCCTACTCCTTTTTCGCCGCCAGTTTGGCCTGGGCAGCCGCCTCCTTTTTGTAGTTGGCCACATAGAAGGCACTGAACATGTAGGTGAAGAGGCCGGCATTGAAGGTCAAGAGGGCGGCAATGGACTTGGGGAAGTTGCAGTTGGGCTGGAACTGGATCTGCAGCGTGTGCACGAAGATGATCAGGAATTGGACCTATAAAAAGAATGTAAAATTAAAGACTAGATCCCTGATTTAGATAAAGGAAACCACTCACAATCTGCAGGATGGTGATGTACTTCTTCCACCACAGATACTTCTGCACCTTGGGTCCCATCGCGGAGAGCAGATAGTAGGCGTACATGATGATGTGGATGAACGAGTTGATGAAGCCCAGCAAAGTGCCATGGCCGCCGGCGAAGTACTTCACTCCAATGAAGGCACACACGGGCATCAGAGTGTGGTGGTACAGGTGCAGGAACGAGATCTGGCGCTGCTTCTTGCGGAGCACGAAGAACACGGTGTCCAGCAGCTCGGTGATCTTGGCAATGTAGTACAGCCACACGGCACGAGCCATCTAAAATGTAATTAAAGGGTATTCAGAAAGGTTAAGCTACCAGAGAAATCACTAACACCTACCCTCATGGAAATCGGATCGGATTCATAGGTCACCGGCTGGCACTTGAAGTTGTAGTGACCGCCCCAGCCGCCCTTGTAGCCCTCGTAGAAGAGCACCCAACTGAGGAGCACCTGGACGGCATTGTAGATCAGCAGGGTGTTCTTCAGCTCGAAAGGCTTCCTATCCCGCATGTAACGAGGTCCGGCGTACAGGCAGAAGTACAGGTAGGCTCCAAGGATCATGAACAGCGGTCCGGGGGCATTGGAAAGGAACCAACTCTGCAAGTATACAATAGTTATATTTCTTGGATTTTATTTTAAGTCAACAAGCTATTCTCCTGGCCATTTTAAAACAAATCATAAACAAATAAAGCCGTTTCTATCAATTGATTATTATCTCTGATAAAATATGTAAATAAGTTTTTTATTTAACTAAAGAAAAATTTAAAAAGAACACCGCTGAAGTGAATATGTAAATTGTTGCCTCCAAACATCTTGGTTGCGTTGCTGATGTCACGTTCTCCAACTCATTTCACCTTGATAAAATTCAATCAAATTCCATTGATATTTCAGCAATCTAAGTTTTAACATAATTCTTCCAAATTCGACCTTAGCTAAATAATATGCTCTTTAAAATTTCAAGAGCTTTAAGTTTTGTTCTTTAAATATACAAGGGTAAAATTTAGAGCCATTAATCCCCAATGATATATTCGTCTGATATATTTTGATAAGATATATTTTGGCGTATAATAAGCATGGGAAAAAGGGCCTTACACGTCAAAGTACACAAAATAAAGTATTTGTTTATTTTGTTTGATATTATTCGTTACGAATACCCACCTTGGTGCGCAGATCCTCGTGCTCCACGAAGAAGTTGACCATCCGATCAACAATGGTGTTCGTCTCGTTCAGTCTGACCGACATCTTGCCAACTGAAAGTGTAGGGTAATCGAGAAATTAGTTTGGATTATGCAGTGACTTGGATTAGCACCTTCTACGACCATGGATCAGATAGTAGAAGCAAGCGCATTCGATCGGTGTTTGATTTACGCGCCGTGAGCATTTCCTGTTAATCAGCGAGACACACAAACTGATGCGGTCCAAGGCGAATCCGCGCCTACGCTTCGCCAGATCAGAATGTGCGCTAATATATAGACGCCGATATTTGCATGCCCATAATACACTGATCGTTGCGGGTGCGAAATGTCATATTAGTAGAATCGTGTAAATCAGGCGTGGCGTTGCAAATTTCGGAATGGCAATAACCTGGCAATTTCTGTCGAAGAAGCGGAAAAAGCCACCGGACAAACAGTTCAAGCTTGTAATTTATCGAGGGCCCAATCGCATTCTTACAGCCAAACTGTCGCATCAGCAATTACCCGTCGCGCATTTAACTCTTTTTTCCACGATTATGATTTACATATATTGTTAAGTGGCAGTTAACTGCATGGGCCTGGCCAAAACAAGGGACACGAAACGGCTTACGTGCACAGAACTGGTTTCGAGCTCATCGCTTGGCCAAATTAGCCGCATGTTCTCCCCTTTTGTCTCTCGGTCTGGCTAGTTTTTTTGTTCAGGTCTCTTGGAAAAGCCCAGGAGCAGGATAGTCCAAGGACAGGACAGCCTGGCAGGTCCATGCATCATTAATTTTATGGCAATGCGTTCAGGGAATAAAAAACCGGTTGGTTCTGATTATTGGTTTCACGAGATGATTTAAGCAGCTAAAAGATATTGCTTTTAAACATTGTTTATTTTAGAAATGAATCAGATATTAATAATATATTAACCATGAATAGAGAAACGGTTTACAGGATTTTATTCAATTTTTTTTTTGAATAATTAAATATAATATATCTGTAAGCAACAAAAAAATCCCAACTGATTTTAATCAATTATTTTTAGACATTTTATTTAGCCCTTAGGTATGAATAGCGATAATAATGATTATCCTATTCTTTTGTTTTTGATAAGTTTTATTAGAACGCATTTCCATTTAGGTATTTTATGTAGCCCATATAAAAATGCCTCTTTCCTTTGTCTAGCCTTCTGGCTATTTATTTTTAGGACTTTGGGTACGACACCTAGAGGCAAGGACAACAGGCCAGGATTTTATGGGCATTGTTTTCAGGGAAACCTGTTTTTGGATGCAGTTTTTGCAACAGATGATGGTTGCGATGATCGGTTGGCCAGCCCATGCGAAATCCTTTAGCAACGATGACCAGGCGTTTTCAATGCCCGCTGATATCGGTCATTATCCGGCCATAATGGCAGGCGACATCAATGGCTTCTTGACGCACCGAGTTGACCAAATAGCTGGCCCAGTTCGCCTTTGTCTAACCCACTTGGCCACTGGAATCATCATTTGGCCCGGGCTCTGTCTCTATTAATTATGTGAGCACCTGCCATCTGCGACTCCGCACTTCGCACTCCAAGTGAACGCCATTATCGAATTACCCAGCGTTTTCTGTGCAGTCATCGCTCTTGGCGGAGCTGCGCGCCAAAAATGCATTCATTCAGTGGGATATTGAGATATTGACTAACGAGAATTTCGTCTGACTTATTTGCATTTTTTCGAGTGCCTTTGCCGAGTGTTTTTGCAAGGCCGGCACTTTCAATCGACCAAAGCCAGCCAATGGTGTTTTCGAGGGTGTGAAGATATTGTGCAAGACAAATGCACAACTTACCTTCTATATTTCTAGGCAATAAAAATGGGTCCCAGACCAACAATCGATTTGTTTGTACCAGGAACTAAGCATTCAACGTTTTAACAATGTTTTATCGTGTATATCTCTTTGTTTAAATTCTGAACTTGTTTTATTTGCTGACAGCGTTTATAATGAAATGAATATATATGGCTGCTCCAGTAACCTGTTAATGCACTTTCCACTCGAATTTCACCGACAAAACTCAAATAAAATAATAAAAACAAATCAAACTGTTGTATAATCAAACCGAAATCTTCTACCGGTTTGCAACAGCCGGCAACGAAATTTAATTCTTGATTTATTTGGCGGTCAGCGGTTGAACTTGGACTTGGTTTTGGGGACTTTCGACTACGAAGATCTTTTATGGCCACTTAACAGTCATAAATAGTTAGATAATATGTGGAGAATTCCAGTTTGGATTCAGGAGGCCACCGTTTCCATGTATTTCCCCCCCCAATCCCTACCTTCCGGTCCCCGAGATCAGCCGCGACTCATCTCGTCACCGCCCAGCGAATATCATAGGAATCGCTGTAAAATTTGGCTTATCTATTTGCCTATTGATTTTTAGAAACATCCGATGTTCACATGCAAATTAGTTTGGACTTTATAGCCAAAAACTTCAAAGTCAGCGTTACTTTGCATATAAATCTTAGAATTTTTCCACGGCCTTTAGCATTTTGAAAGCCGATTTTTCGATTGAATAGCGGAAACTTCGGTTATTTGGACCCTGAGATCTGCTCTCGTTTTGCATAACATTAAAGGAAAACATTGCGCAAATCATAGCTACTTTTCCAATAATGCTGACGGCCGTTTGCCTGCCAATTAGCGATTGACAGTGAACGAGAGTGCGTGGCAACGACAGAGTAAATATTAAACGAAGCCAAATAATGGCAAAGTAAATACATATATACTATAAATATCACCCGCTGCCCTGACGTCACAT